TTATTGGCAGACATCGTGCAATTTTACACTGAATTGTTCAAGTGCTTTTTTGGATCGACACAACAACAACAACAGGACCCAGCAGCACCTGGCTCATCCAACACGGTGGCACTCGAAGAAGCTGATGGCGTTCTAGCGGAAGAAGGCAATGTCTTCGCGCAACCCCTACCTTCGGCACCCAACTTGGAACAAAGAAGCCAGGAATCAGCACCTGACGAACCCGACGCGGTGCTAATCGAAATAGCGGATGTAGTCCTTGTTGAAGACGAAGATGTCATGGCACACCAACTACCTTCGGCACCTAACTCGGCACATCACCAGGAATCAGCACCTGACGAACCCAATGCGGTGCCAATCGAAAAAGCGGATGTAGTCCTTGTGGAAGACGACGACGTCATGGCGCACCAACTACCTTCGACACCCTACTACCCTGAATTTATATCAAAATCTGTCACTCCCTCTCTCAATGGTTGACTGATGTTTGCAACATCGCAGATCGGGAATCGACACAACACGAGGAACCACCAGCACATGATCCATCCAACACAGTGGCAATGGAACAAGTCGAAGCTCGAGGTTGAAATTTTCGTTCAGGTGTTGGCTTCTCTAAGCAACCGCGACAATCTGGAATCGATGCAACACCAGGAACCACTAGCACCTGACCCAACGTGTATGGAACAAAACTCTGCCGTTCTTGTGGAAGGAGGCACTGTCCTAGCGCACCCACTACCGTCGGCACCCCACTAGACACTAAACCAGAAATCAACACCTGACCAACCCAACAAGGTACTAATCGAACAAGCTGATGTAGTTCTAGTGGAAGAGGGCGATGTCATGGCGCACCCGCTGCCGTCGGCACCCCCCGAAGTTCATGATGGATGATGTCTACCACGGAAATATATATCAAACGCCTCATTCCTTCCCCAAATAGACTCGGCGAATGTCTTGCTCTTCCAAATGCGACGAAATGGAAGCCTTTGGCAGTATTTTGTCAATCGTTTTTTGCAATTCTTCCAGGTCATCAGGAGTTTCAAAGGCGGTGCGCATCGACACTATCCGACGTGACTCCAGTGGTCT